CCAACTAACTAACTAACTAACTAACTAACTAACTAACTAACTAACTAACTAACTAACTAACTAACTAACTAACTAACTAACTAACTAACTAACAATGCATGCAAAATGCCTTCCTTTCAAAACAAGGGGAATTTGCAGCCATATGCTACTGTGTGGAAATGTTCTAATTCAAGGTCCCCATCAACCAGTCATAACTTTCCCTATATGCCCTTCCCATTCATTCAGTAATTGTTCATTCTTCATTCCCTGCCCCTCCCAACCATCCATTCGATTTCTGTAGCCACTGAACTTGGTCAGTCTCGTTTGTGGAAGCAGAATCTCTCCATCACCACAATTTGCATTTTAACCTAGAGATTTTTGTTTTGTTTTGAGGGGATGGTATTTCTGCAAATTCACCTATTAAAAGGTGCCATTTTGGATACATAAACTGGCAGAACTCAAACCCTAAATGTTGAAAACAGAGGAAATAATCCCATGTGAAAACGGAAATCTGGCAACTCATGTTACCGCAGGCCAACAATATCTATATAGACAACTCCAGCTTCCCAATAATTATGTCACATTCACGATGCCAATAAATTCATAAAGGCACCAAGCTTTTATTGGTCTTTATACTTCTATACACAATTTTTTACAATCCAGACAAGGAAGACTCATCTACTGCCCTCTGTGCTTGCAATGAAGATAAAAAAAATATTAATCCAGGACTGCCTTGTACTGAAGCAGACAACTGATCATTTAGCCCAGTGTTGCTAACTCTGACTTTCAGTAATTGGCTGTCCAGGGTCTCCACGCACATTCTTGGAGATCCTTGGTTTCCCCTGATGGTCTCCCACACAAGAACTAACCCTGCTTGACTCTACTTAGCTTCTAAAATCAAACAAAATTGGACATATTCAGGGTGGAACGTTCAGGACATGAACAGAGATGGGCCATATCACCATATGGGCCCTGCCATGTTTTGTGAAATTAGGAAACAAACAAACACAGAAGAGCCATATTTGGCAACATCTGGCCACTTCATATACACTACCAATGAATGCACCAATTCTAGACCTCCAGTAGTATTTAGCACTGGTTATGAACGGAGGCTGAAATGCTACAGTTCAATCTCCATTCACAAACCATGCTAAATATTATTTCAACTGCACGGCAATGCCTGAAAAGCCTGAAGGCAGCCACTGCAACACAATCACATTGGGGCATTAAAAATAGTAACAACATGAACACAATCAAACAAAAATCAATCTTGAAAACATATCTTTGCATCTATTTTTGCCTGGGAGGACTGGAACTATAATGGGTGCACCCAGTGTATGATTTAAACCAGAAACTGAGGCAAGCAGGAAGGATAGCAGTCTTGGGATGGAAATTTCCGAAGCTCAGCTGCTCATCATGACAATCCTTATAACCTGGCTCCCAAGAAAATTCCAAAAAATGCAGCCAGTTATATTGATCCATGGCAATAAAACCAAGCACTAGTAGGTTTTTATTATCAGCACAAACAGGTTGGGTGTGTCTTTTTCAAGCTGATGGGTTTTATTGCCCTTTTAAGCCAAGCACTCCAAAATGTTTGTATTGCAACAATGGGTAACTTCGTGTGAGAGCCGGTGCAGTGGAGTGGGTGGAGTCCTGGACTAAGACTCGGGAGACCTGGTTTCAAATCCCTGCTCAGGCATGGAAACTTACGGGGGATGGGGGGGTTGATGACAACGTTAAAACAACTCCTGGAGTATCTCGCATACCTAAATCCTGTTAGGTAGACCTAAGTCAGAAGCAACTTGGCATCTCATAACAGATGAGCACAACATGTTATTGGTTGGAAAATCCACTCTGATGACCATTCCGCCCCAACTACTATATAGGATGCAGCTAAACTCTGAAAGAAGACCTGAATGTCTGATGGTCCTAGTAAATTATGTCTTTGCACCTGATAATCCCAAAGCCCCTGTCTTGGAAAATCCACTCTGATGACCATTCCACCCCAACTACTATATACTGTAGGATGCAGCTAAACTCTGAAAGAAGATCTGAATGTCTGATGGTCCTAGTAAATTATGTCTTTGCACCTGATAATCCCAAAGCCCCTGTGTTTTGACACCGCTAACCCTGGTTCCACAACAGCTTCAAAAGCATAACTGTCCTGGGGAGTCAAAGCATAGACCACTGGTTCTAAATCTTTGTTACTCAGATGTTTTTGGACTGCAACTCCCCATGTTTTGACCCTGGTTCCACAACAGCTTCAAAAGCATAACTGTCCTGGTGAGTCAAAGCATGGGCCATCAAATTTGTTGTCAACAGGAGATACCTTGAGGCCCCAGGGAAGGCTACAAGATGGTACCAAGGCAACAGCGCTCCCTTGTGATCTGTCACTAAGAAGATACTGTATTTGAGGAACATACACATGGAGGTCTTGTAGTGCCATTCTGGCTGATGGCCACTGATCGTTCCCTCCTCCTCTGCAGATTTCTCTAAATCTCTCTAAAACTTATCTAATCCAACAGCCATAACCATCTCAAAAATATTCCAGGTCAGATGTCTCCTCCTCCATGGATTTGTCTAATCCTTTGTGAAGGATGTCCAGCATCTATTGTGTAAATCTTTTCCTTAAGAAAAATCTTCCTCCTTCATGCAGATGTTAAACCATTACCAGATTTTTCTCCATCGCACAGACGCTGACCTTGATTGTACCCAGCAGCCACCAATGACCTTTCAATGACTTTACACAACCCCCATGAAGAGCCATACTGGTGCATCTGTTCGCCTCCCAAATGGACCATGGATGAAGCCATCAAGGCTGAATCTTTTGCATTTAAATTCATATCCCCCTCTTCCCGTGTTTGTATCGAGGCCTGTCTATTGGGGCTACTATCCATGCTTCTAAAGAAGCAGGTTCTGCTCCACAAAAGCTGATGCCAGATAGAATTTCAGAATCTTTAGTGCCACCACCAACTTTGTTGGTTTTGTTGCAACAGATTAAAACAGTGACGTCTTTGGAAGTGTCTAAAGAAGCATCTAACCTAGCAGGAATGATCACCTCAAAAATTCTTAAGTGCAGTGTTTAAAGGGTTCCCCTTCGAGCACGATCCAGCCACAAAGCACCTAGTTTTCCTCCCAATAGGGCATGCCAGGAAATAACCCTTCCTCTGTCAGAGGGAATGTTCCCCCTCCCTTGCATCCCCGCCACGGCTCACCTCTGAAAGTGGCATCCCATTGATGATGAGATCTGGCTGCTGGGCACTCTGACCGGTGAATGTGTGATGGTAGACGTGGTTGGACCCCGTGTTCCTGTTGTTTTGGTTCTCCACGTTGAGAAAGGTGCTTTCTGACCGGCGGCAACCCAGAGGCAAGGTCTGCTGATGATAATCAAAGTAGTTGAGGGATGAGGTGAGGGAGGAACAACTCACAACATTCATTTTGTCCGTCTCCTCCACATCCCGTGGTACCAGACGGATGTCATTCTTGCTGATTTTTTTCTTCTTGTTGGATTTCTTTTGGTGCCCATAGGAATACTCTGCAATTCTGCAGGACACAAGAAAGGAAAGTGAGTACCTTACTTCCTCCTGAAATTGTAATCTAGTCAACAGAGATTCCCCGAAGAACTGGTTCCTATCCGCATGCAGGGTCACTGGCTTGGCTCTTGCAAAACAAAATGGAGGGTCCTGGGTTTATCTTTCAGAGGCATAAAAAAGTTTTGTTGATCGGACACATAAAGACAACAAGTGAGGAGGAATAAAAGCGGGGAGAAAGTTCCCCCCGGGTTTTGTCTGTTGCTTAGAACTGCCGGGATCTAGTTACCAGAGATATAGTTCAGCCTGCAGAAAAGGGAAAAAGAATAATTATGTAAAAATCCATGAAGTGAAAAGGGTAGGCAAATGCATTTCCATTGGTAATAAGGATTTGAAAACTTATTTAAATGTATTAATGCAAAGGTGGAACACTAAGATGGATATCAGCAGGGAGAGGGACGGGTCTGTCTCCTCTTCCACAGCCTTTAGCTCTGGCACGGCTCTCCTCTCCTACTTGCCCACCGTGCGTTTTTTCCCCTCAAAACTAGAGAGCACACGCTTGTGTACAGTTCACTTGTCATCTCACCGACGCCAAGTTATAAAAAGTGGGCAGAAGGGGCAAACCTTTCAACCTGGAAAATAACAAATCCCATTTGGTCTGCTTGTAGGGAATTTCTGCAGATCAGTTATTTTTGGAAACTTATTAATAAGATTGATATAGGCTCCAGATTTCTTTTTCCCTTTCGACTGCGCTCCAGTCTCATAGCATCTACCACATTAATTCTTGCTGTTCTTATTTGTACTCACACTGCCGTTAGACAAATTATAAAATCCTTCTCTCTTTTTTATTCTTACGGGGAGAGGCAAAAGCCCACCATGTTGTGTCTCAGAAGGAAAAATTATCTGTTCGACCTTCAGCCAATTTACAAAATGCACCTCTGCTTTGTCTGTTGCACCCAAAGAAGGACAGGCGGCTGTGGACTGAAGGGAGCCTGGAGGAAAGTTATCAGTAAACAAGAACCAGAAAAATAATTAAAAACATGACCGCCTTTAGCGTTATCTCTGTAAGTCTAGATTGCTGTCTTGGTGATTTGGTATTACTATCGGGGACTGTGTAGCGTTATCAGTGCCACACAGATGTAGATCTGCACAGAGGATGCCAGGAACCTCAGCCTTCCCAAAGGAAAAGGTCCAACTTTAAGTAAAGCCTGGAAAAACAGTTGTTTCCAGACACCGAGAGACCATTAAAGTCTGAAAACCACTGCATTTTGAAAATCCACTGTGATGATGAAACAGCAAGATGAATAATCCGGGAGGATTTTAGCACAATAAATAAAGAGATGGCCAGGAGTGTTAGGAAGGGAGGGGACATCAAGTAAAAGAGGACTTTTTTTCCTTCTCTTTCATGTGATGTGTTGAGTGAAAGAGCATATACTGGCACTTCAAAGAGGCATGCAAGGAAGGAAGGACAGAAGGCCTGCTTCTACTATACTACAATCTAAATCTCAATAGTGTAGAAAATAAAGCAAGAAGGAAGGAGAGGAACAAAGAAAGCTTTCTCTCTACCAAGTCAGAGAGAAAATGACTTGGTAAAGCCTGGAAGACCTGCTAGACTGCACAATCTCCACTCGGCTTGCAGGAGCTCTCCAAAGTCCCACACAGAGAGGGGCCTGCAGTCCGTGATTTTTCTGAGCCAAAGAGAGAACAGGGCAGCGTCTGCCAGCAAAGGGGCTGTGGCTCAGTGACAGAGCATACGCTTTGTCGGCAGAGGGTCCTGGGTTCGATCCCCAGTACCACCACGCAGGGCTGGAAAAACCAGCCACTGCTAAGAACACTGAGTGAAATGAAGGCATGTTCTGACTTGGTCTAAGTCAGCTTTCTGAGTTCCCCAAAAACGACTGAATCAAAGAATTTTAGCCAAAAAGGTGATGCTAATGGGCAAAAAAGAAAGAAAGCAATGGACTGGAAGAATACAAAAGGAACTGGGTGCCAGAAGACTTTCTCTCTTTTTTTATTATATTAAAGAAGTATTGAACCAGAGTTCTGAAAACACATAGAATGGAGATCTCAGGATCCAACACAGTAAGGGACAGCCCTCATATTGAGCTCAAAGGGCCACATGAAGCCCACCTACCAGGAGTTACTGCACACGCCCCTCTTCTCCTGCTCAGGTTGTATAAAAGGTGCTTCCCTCCACTTTCCAAGTTCTCCTGGTATCTTAATTCACAACCCTGTCCTGCTTCATCCCTCGCGTACTAGTCAAGAGTTGCTCCTCTCATCAAGCATGCAATACATTTTAGCAGATCCCCAAAACTGGGATTTCGGGATTTGCTAAGATGTATTGCATGCACTCTGAATGAGCCATTGACATTTCAAGATTCATTCCTACGTACAGCTCTCTGGGAAGAGATCCCCCTGGACTCAAGAGAGCTTACTTCCAAGTAGCCATATGTATCAGGCTATTTCTGGTGGTGCCACTAAGTTTTTCAAGTTATTCCAGTTTAGAAGGCAGGCATTCATTTTGCTGTCCTGTGTGTGAGAGGGGCTGTGTGTGTGGGTTTTTTTCCCTTTCTATTGACCAATTATTTAATTAGCGTATACTTCATTAGTCTCTAAGCTATCACACGAAACCAACTAGTAATAAGAAGTACAAATCTGTAAGGGGCGTTGACATGGACTAGAGGCTTCCCACCCCCTTCCTTTAGTGACTATTCTTGTTTAATGGGCCGAGCTTGTAAAAAAAAATTTTTTTGGCACATTAGTACTCATTTAAAAGCCAAATCACTCTTAAGAACAGCACAAGCAACAGCTTTATTTGCAGACGGTTTCCCCTTTTTCTTTTTTTTCTGTATGCAAAGACACACAGACACACCTATCATCACAGAGCGATACAGGTAACAATGAAATTAAAAAAGGGGGACTGGAAAACCCTGAATTCTCTTCTATCGTTATATCAGCCAAAATAAAACTTTAAAGGCAGCACATCTTCCCAGGCTCTCGTAAGGGCCAGAAGCGTTTTGTACATTTCAAAAGAAAGGGGCAAAATTAATTTCCATCCCTTCCATCTGAAATGACAGAGGACTGAAGGAATGGGAGAAGTCATGGCTATTTCGCTCATAACAGGATTAAACCATTTATGAGCTGTTGCAGCTGCTCCTTTATGGCGCCCAATTGATATTCATGTGCGGTAAGCGTTTGTCTACTAACTTGTGCAACACAGAGAATAGCAAGAGACAGACAATAATCGCCTTGCTGTTACATATTCAAGGGGATCAAATCCACGTCTTAAGATTTCAAAAGACTGGGGGGGACCCCATACACCACCCTACGTTTTAGACTTTAAAGGCCATCAAAAACAGATAAAGGCATCTAATTAAAAAAAATAAGAGGGCCGCTTTTCAAATGTCAGATCAAAACAGAAGAGAGCTGGGAACAACCTTTCATCCTCTTAGCAGTGATTTAGATATAACGCGGGGTGGAGTGGGGAGAGATGGCTTAGCTCTTCATCCCCCTTGCCAGACTTGGAGCCCAAGATCCAAATTCGGAGAGCAGGGGGGATGTCCTTTTTATCCCCCCACCATAAAAATGTAAACGGGCTTTCTAATAGCTTGTTCTGCCTCCCGCCCACCTTACCCAGCACTATCCTCGTATATTTCTGGCTGAACTCTGTTTTCTTTCATCTCCCCCTTTGCAAGTGCCCGGGGTTGCTTTTACAACCAACCCTCCTGGAGAAAACGGGCAGGGTTTTGAAAAAGCATCCACAGTGACCTCATCTGGCGGGCATGAGATATTGACAGGGTTGCAGAGGCCCGGGGGGGGGGGGGGNGAAGAAGAAAGCAGGGGCCATCTAAAGCCACTGACAACAGCTATGGGTTGATTCATCACTACAGCACCTACTGTCCAGTCAACCAAAGAGGTGTCTCCTCCCAGCCGCTCTGCACTTCCAAAAAAGAAAAATAAAAAGGTAGTAATTCATCACTGCATTCATGCCTGAGCAGAGCTGCTCAAAAGTGTGCATTTACACCTACATGCCAAACGTGGGTCATGGGGCTCCGCTGGTTCGTTCTTTCCCTCGCCAACACTCTTGCGTTAGAATGTTTTGATGTGCAGTCTTTGAAAAGACTACAGAAATTTGCACACATACACACATATGGGCCTTTCCCCCCACCCCCCAGCCAAAGACAGGGCAGAAGGGAAAACAGATCCTATCAGCTGTGTATTATGGACCATTTATATCCAACCACAGAATTAAATCCACTTAACCTCAACCAGGAAACGGCATTTAAGAAACAGACAAGGCATTTATTCCAGATATGGCATTTGCCTGGAATATCCTTAGTATGCTTTGGATTATCATTTTGATTAGCAGCAGCAGTAGTAATAATAATATGTTTTAACCATGACATTATGCATACACTGGAACCAAGAAACAAGTAGATTTTACCTGCAATTGTAGGTCCTAATTTCTTTGTTATCCCGCTTACACTTGACTGCTACGAAGATCATGGTGACAAACAAGATGGCAGCAATAGAACCCAGGGCAATTATAAAAATGAGGGACAAGTTAACAGATCCTATGGATTCCTGGGCATCCAGGGCCGGAGAGAGATATATCAAAATCAAGGCAGAAGCGGAGAGAGATGTTTTCCCATGGTCATGGGCTACTACAATCAACTCATAGGTAGTCTTTGAATTCTCCCCAAATGCTCTTGTGGTCCTTATCTCGCCATTGACCTGGTCTATCTCGAAAAATCCTCTGTCTCCTTCTGCCATCTCATAGGAGAGTCTCCCGTTTTCCCCTTCATCATAATCATCTGCCTTGACTACGGTCACCAGGTATCCAACCCCAGCGTTCCTAGGGATATACACCTCTGCAGTCCCATTGACTAGTGGAGGGGCGGTGATCACCGGGGTGTTGTCATTGACATCCAGGACAATGACTCGGATGGTGGCATTGCTTTGTAAGGAAGGGTTGCCTCCATCTTTGGCCAACACCTTGAACTCAAAAGACTTGGTCTGCTCGTGGTTGAAGGACCTCAAGGCATAGATATCACCCGAGTTGGGATTGATGGAGACATAGGTGAAGACAGGCATGTCTCTGACTTGGGATGGCACGATCTGATAGGAGACGCTGCCATTGAGGCCTAGGTCAGGATCCCTGGCAGAAACGGATAAGAGGTAGGCCCCAGGGGTATTGTTCTCCTGAACAATGACCTGGTAATATGGTTTGGAGAAGTGGGGGTGGTTGTCGTTTTCGTCCGTGATCTTGACGGTGAAAGACTTGGTGGCTTGAAGAGAGGGGATCCCATTGTCCTTAGCCTGGATGGTGAGGTTGAATTGGTCCCTTTGTTCTCTATCCAAGCGTCCGTCCACCAAGATGGTGGAGAAGCTCTCGTATTCTTGCAGGCGGAAGGGCACATTGCCCAGCAACTTGCACTGCACCCGGCCATTGGCACCAGAGTCTCGGTCAGAAACTCTCACCAGAGCAATGACATAACCAGGTGGTGCATTCTCACTGACCTCCACCAGTTCGCTGTTCACAGAGAGCAAGTTAATAAGAGGGGGGTTGTCATTAGCGTCTTGCACAGTGACGGTCACCTTGCAATGAGCAGGAATAGAGTTGGGGCCAAGATCTTTGGCCTGCACGTCCAGCTCGTAGGCATGACCTTCCTCATAGTCAATGGCCCCAGTCACCATGATCAGGCCTGTCTGGGGGTTAATCTGAAAGAGGTCCCTGGCTTTTTCAGACACATAGCTGTGGATGGAATACAACACTTGTCCGTTGGTTCCCTCATCAGGGTCTGTGGCGTTCAGGCGGATCACCGGTGTGCCCGGAGGAGCATTTTCCGGCACGCTGACTGTGTACGACGGCTCTTCGAAGAGAGGGTTGTTGTCATTGGAGTCAATGACCCTGATGTTCAACTCCACCGTGCCAAAGTTGGGTGGGTCGCCGCCATCCAGAGCTGTGATCATGTAACTGTAATGAGACTGCGTTTCCCGATCCAAGCTCTTCTCCACCACCAGCTCTGCAAAACGAGAGCCGTCTCCCCGCGTCTTGGTCTCTAACCCGAAGAGGTCGTTGGGCGTGATCTCATAGCTCTGCACGCCAAAGCTGCCCGAGTCCGGATCGTAGGCGCTCTCCAGCGGCACCCTGGTGCCTGGGCTAGCGGTCTCCGAGATCTCCAGGGCAATCTGGTCCGTGGGGAAGCTGGGGGCGTTGTCGTTGAGATCTTTGATCTCCAGCTTGATGACACAGATCTCCATGGAGCTGGACATGACCTCCAATGAGATCACGCACTTGGGGCTCTGCCTGCAGAACAGATCCCGGTCAATCTTCTGCTTAGTCACCAGTAACCCTGATCCAGGATTAATGTCCACCAAGTGCGGGGCAGAGTTGGAGATCACCCGGAAAGCAGTCGGTTGCCGGGGATCCAGCACGAAGCCTGCATCTCGGGCATCTTTGGCGATGTTGGCAATCACAGTGCCGGCTCTCTGCTCTTCCTCCACGGAGTATTTCAAGTTGATCAGGGCTCCGACTCCAGTCCACAAGAGAGCCAGAAGAAACCGGAGCAGGGGGCACAGAATATCCATAGCTCACGGCTCAATGCACCCACTGCCTCCTCCCCCTTCTCTCTTGTTGCCTGTTGATTTTGCGGCTGGGAGGGAGGGACGGAGGGAGGGAGGGAGGAAAAGAGCTGGGTTTACTAGGTTTACTAGTTTGGGGGGGGGTTTCTGTCACAGGCAGAGAGGAGGAAGCGAATCAGAAGGAAAGGGCTGCCGGGAGGAGAGGCTGAGGAAGGAAGAGGAGCGTTGGATGTGGTTACTTTAAGAGCTAATTGTCTCTTGTTTCCTTACCACACATCTTAACAGCTGTACTCCCCAGCCAAGGCAACACACGTTTCTTCCCCCCCCTACAACAAAAGAGAGAGAAAGAAGCAAAATGCCTCTTTTCCTTCACCGTGGGGCCAAGGAGAGTCCTAAGTTACAGGAAAGGCAAGTCGCTTTTAAATATGAAAAACAACCTCCACCCCCCCAAAAGGGATTACAGACGTACACAGATATATACTAAGCGCTGTCCGACTCTTGGGGAGGGGCCTTCATTTACTTGCACCTGGCATGTGCTAAATTTCTTCCTTTTTCCTTCACCCCCTACTCCCCCCATACACACACATACACACACACACAGTCACAGAGACTTTGATGCACAAAGTGAAGCCTGAGGGAGGGAGGAGGGAGAGAAGTGGGCAAACTCTGCTTTGCCAAGGTCTCTTAAAAAATGGGGGGGGAAGGGTGTTAAGAAATTAAAAATTAAAGAACAGGATGAGGAGGGAAGCTAAGTAAGGCTGAGGCAGAGAAAGAAGGAAGGATCTTGTCCGATCCATAAGTCACA